AGAATATAAGAAATTTTCCAATTTTTCTTCAGACCATCTCGCTACAACTTATTTATTTTAACCAAAATTGCAAATCGATAATATCTAAAATATTTTCCCAAAACAATACTTAGAATTAATAGCAAAGATATTAAACATTTTTATGCATGCATAAGTGTTTACAAAAATTACGCCAATAAAAAATTCCCATCATCATACTGTTAAAAGTCTTTATGCCTTTACAAATATCCATAAAACACATAATGTTTAAAGAAAATTTCCACACCACCATTGAGGTATTACCAAAATCGAAACCACCTACACAAATCCATTCGCAGCTGAAAATTAGTTTCAAGCAAATCATTCACTCGCTGCAAATGATAAGGATGCAGCAACTCTTTTTTCAAAATTAGCCACACTATCACATGAGAGGAGCCAATAATCCCTGCAATTTCGCGTGTGCTATTTAAGGGATTGTCTTCTTCAAAATCAAAGATTTCGTCCCTGCAGCAGCGATAAGGTTCGAACCCGTAAATAAGTATCATGTCACAATTGTTCTACAGGAACATACTGACCTACGATAATGTTTGATGTTGTTTTACTGAATCAGTTTATTGAACTGTATACCGATTGTTAAAACGGTTATTAGAGGTTAGCATAAACACCCTGAATCATTTTTAATCTAATCTAACCAATAACCAAAATATAAGCAAAAAAAATACAAAAGAAATTCTACACACTACTGCTGGCAGTTACCGGCGGATTGAGTACGACGTTGCAGATCGTGTTTCTTTACCAGGGCCGGAATTGAATTTACCTATACCTTCACCTACGTTTTTCTCGAAAATGGTGAATTTTGAGTCATACAAACATTTACTTAATTTTCTTATTTCATAGCGCCCTATATCACCTCCTGCAAGTTCGACACATATTTCTGTTACACCTTGTATATGTATGTGTGAATGTACGCGTGATATTTAGACAAATCTGATCAAAATAGCAGACACACAGGTATTTTGATGATTTTGATTTTACTTTGTTACGAAAATTTAACATACTATACAATGTGATGCAAGTACCTCAAAAAATAAAGGGATGAAGGACACGGAAAACTGAACTCCAAAATTAAATTTAAACAAATTTATCTAAGCAGTTAAATTCAACTCTCTTCGAAACAAATTTACTAGAAACTTATGTTTGCTCTAAAGTTAAATAATCTTTTAGCTTTAAAACATTTACTCCACACTCTGAACTTTAATAGCTAAAAAGGACTTTTTCGATCCGGTTCAGTAAGTTTCGGTGTAAACTGTAACGTGCTCCAGGATTTAATGGTTGAACTGCAGCTATTTCCTTCGATTTCAGCTTTAAGCCATCGAACGGAAAGAAACATTATATTGAAATTATCTATACTGGAATTTTAGTTTAAAACTTCCCTACTACCGCTAAGCGCAATTTTGCCATATTACATAAAAAAAAGCTCACATCTTATATTTATTAACCAATTGTGTTTTGTTTTGTTTTCTTTTTCTACAAAAATTGATCACTTTCCAATATTTTTCACCAATTTTTACATATGTATGGGTAAAGATAGCAGAATTAGCATCTAGCAGGGAGGAATTAGAGATAGCTTTAAATAAAATGGAAGCGGTATTGATAAAATACTACTGTATGAAAATAAATAAAAGTAAAACTGGTATGCAAGGAAAGAAAAAGTAGGGAAAGAGCGAATATAAAGATAAGAGACGAAAAATTAGAACAAGTGGCTGATTTTAGGTATCCTGGAAGTCAGATAAGTCAGGACGGAAGAAGTAGTAGGGATATAAAGCAGAGGATAGCGCAGGGTCGAGTAGCCTTTAATAAAAAGAAGTCACTTCTATGCTGGCGAACGATTAATTTAGAAATTCGAGAAAGATTGTTTGGAGTACGGCGCTGTACGGGTGCGAAACATGGACAGTGGGCGCGGTGGAAAAGAAAAAGTTAGAAGCGTTCGAAATGTAGATCCCGTGGATAGAAAAGGTTAGAAATGATAAGGTATTAGAAAGAATGGAAGAACAGAGAACTCTATGGAAGCCAATAAGAAATAGACGAAATAGGTTGGTCAGTCTAGTCAGAGACATATTAGAAACAGAAACTGGGGTTAGGAGAGGTAGAGGTAGACCTAGATTAGATTACTGTTCGCAAATAGTTAAGGATATGGGTTGTTCTAGTTTTAGGGAAATGCGAAGATTAGCTCAGAATAAGAAAGAGTGGAGGTACGTATCCAATCAATTTTAGGACTGACGACGTTATGATAATGGGTAAATATAATAGCTTATTGTTTTATTCGCAATAGTCTCAAGACTACTAGATTTGCCTACTAGATTTCGTTAACTCCTGCAGTATGGCGAAACATTCAAAAAACCTATTCAGTATAGAGATGAATCACGTTTCAATAAAGTTGGTCCAACTTTCCAAACACAAAATTTGTAGATCAAAACTTGAAAACATGTTTGTTGTTTAGTGATTGTTTAAATATCACTACGATTCTACTTAAATTATTTTTTTAAAGTAATTGTTAAACAAGGAAAACGCTATTACAACATAAATAAACTTCCTTACAGGATGGCGTAATCCGAGATAGACCTTAGATAAATCTACGTTCTACACACAATTATGCTCCTAAATGTAAATTCCGGATGAATTTATGTATGTTTTGACAATAACTAATAAAATTTCTTTGACGTTATTACTTCTGAACTAACAAATAATTCGCAAAATAGGAATCGCTATATTGTGATACACGGAAGATTTAAACAGTGAATAATGTAAGCGAACTGTCGGATATTTTTAGAACATTTACATGTTACTGCTCAACCTTGTTTACCTTTTTTACGACGATGGATTGCTAAATTATTGTTCCCATTCAAATCGATTCGCGAATTCTTTTCAACGAAAAATCGAGATTTAATCATTTGTAATCGTTAAAAAATTACTAGCAATCTTTCGCAAAGCACCTACGTATATTTTTATAAAGTACCTACAAGTTCATTCATACCAAATAATGAAGTTCGAAACCAAAAAATACTTATTCGAACTTATTTTTCCAACTGTTTGCTTTTTAATGATTTTATTATTTATAATTGGTTAAAAAATTACCAGCAATCTTTTTCAAACCACTTACGTATGTATATTTTAATGAAGTACCTACAACTTAATTCTTTCGTAGAATATGATGAAATTCGAAAGCAAAAAAAGACACTTATACTCAGTGTTATTTTTTATAGTTTTTAGATAAAAAAAATACAGACAAACATATACAAATTTAATTTTACCTTGTAGGATTACGTATGATTACGTATCCTAAAATGTAGCATCGTGCTACAGATGGCGTTTATACGCCATTTGTAGTATTTTCTAAAACGCACTGTTAAGACAGTAGGTAAAAGTTGGTCTGTTGGAGCTGTCTGCGCGCGCTGATGAGATCCAAAAAGATCGAAATCGCGATCCACGTCTGGCAGTTTCGACAGAATACAGACCACTTCGAATTATTTTATTCCATGCGTTAGTGTATTATAGGTGCTTATATCTATATCACCAGCTGCGAAGATTTAGTATGATTCGTATTTTTCTGTTTGAAGTTATTGAGATATAGTTTTTCTATCTTTATGTTATAGTTCCTTCAGTTCAGCAACAAATAATTCTTCTATATGCTTCGTTATTTACCTTTTTTAACCGTTTTAATTGGAAAAAAGACACTGATGCCAAAATAGTTTGCTTAGCGTGAATGATCAGAGCCAAAATAGGGTTGCAAATAATTTTATTAATGTAAAATCACCATCGATCATTTTATATCAAAATATTTACAACCCCATTTTGTTTCTGATCTTTCACACATTGTAATAAGAGAAAAAAATGGAATCAATAGTTTTTTTAGCTTTGGGTTCACCTAATAAGTTTTTCGAATGGTTTTCTAAGAATTTTGGATTATACGCATTTATTAGCACACTAAATAATTCGATCTTATTTTGCGGGCTGTTTCGTATTTCGTAGTTCCTTGCTAAAGATACGGTAAGTGGATATTTATATTCTTTATAAGAGTTTCTTATTAACAAGAAAATAAAGTGTATTTATAAGAAAATACATTCTTTTTTAAACTGAATTAATCCTACATTTAAGAATAATGAAAATAATCAACAAATTTACTGATAATTAGTCATTTATTTCATTGCAACAATAATAACATCTTATGCATAAACAATAGGGGCTGAGTAACCAGCTGGGTAAGCGTAAGGAGCCGCGTAGGCATAGGGAGATGCAGCGTACGTTGAATAACCGTATGAGTAAGCGGGAGCAGCAACAAGGGGAGCGCTATACGCAGACAGTAATGGAGCAGCAATGGCGACTCCTGGTTTAGCTTTAGGCTCTGGAGCAGCCTTAGCTTCAGGTGCTGGAACAGCAACGGCGAAAGCAAAGATAGCGAAAAGTACGATCTGAAAATACAAAAATATGTAAGTAATTATCGAAAATTTTAATTTTTTTATTTCTTAATAAGTTTAATGCTCCGATATGAGGAGAACTCAATAAAATACATAAAAGTATAGCAACATTCTTGTCTAGTAAGTNAGATGTTTATTTATATTTGAAGACATATTAAAGACTTTAACGCTTGTTTTCGACTCGCACTAGAATTCATCATTGAACAAAACTTTTGGCAGGTACTGTATGAAAAAGTATGTTTAATGAACAAGAGTCGAGAGTATAATAAGCTTTTTTCTCCCTACCTTCGATTTTGCCAGCGCGCATCCAAGACATTGGAAGGGGCAAATCGCTAGAGAAAGTAAATGAAGTATACAATTCTTGATGGTAGCTTTAACATTTAGAAAATGACTTTTATATGCTGCTGCCATTACTTTTTAAATTGGTTCATACAAGCTATCCACTAATATCGATGACGTAGTGTAATCTCTCATTAATTTTACAGCACCTACCAAGTTATATATGAACATAGAAACACGTTACTGCACTTTTTAACAACGACTTACCTTCGCATGTAGTGATTTTTGATAACAACCGTAATTACCAGCAGGTTTGCGGATAAAGACAATAAAATTATTGGAATGTAAATGATGATAAGGTCGTATTGTCTTATGTGGAACACTTCGTAAATGTCGCTCTCCGGTATTGTGTCTATCAAAGATTCGTTCTCTAACACTAGATCATCAAAGGTCATTGTGATGTTTCTAGTTTCCATTCTGTACTTAAATACAGTTCAACTAACACATTCACTGTCACCAAACAATGTAAAAAATAGTTTAACAACGGCAAACAATCGACAGTCTAAAGAAAAATACATCGTTTCGTCCATCTGTTACGTTGATAAAACAAAAAGGTAATAAGTAAATGCATAATTATTAGATAAGTTTCAGAAAGCTCAAATTGTAAGTAATTTGTCAGTTGCCAAACGGTAAATGTTAATTAAATTGTTTTTCAATTAACGAATTAACCGGGTCATTGGCCAATGAAACAGATTTTCGTTTTTTTTTTTTAATAATCGCATCAAAATCTAAACGAATTAATTTTTGTAAAAACTCGAACCTTTCAATTAGAATAAAATGAGTCAATTAGGAGTTTTTTACTCCAGGAAAATTTAATCTTTTTTTAGTATTTACGAGACGTGATGCATTATTTGTAATGAAAATTAATTAATGTAAATATTTACCATTTAGCAAAAAAATTGACGAAATCTCTTTCAATCAACTAGTT